CATTGAGGGGGCTGGGTTTTTATTATTTTTTTCTTAATCTCTATGGGGTCCCCCAGAATGCATGACGCTCCCCCTTTTTCTTCTCTGTGCTTTAAAGCTTGCAAGACTATTATCCAGCAGCCTGCAGTTAGTTCTTATCAGTGACAACCAGATGGAGAGCGTACGAGCTGCACCTCCAGACTTGTTGATTGTGCAGCGTTGGCAGAAAAGCCTGCAATTGTGAGCAGGGTGTGTGTGATTTGAGATTAGCATCTTTCATGTATTTTTGTTAACTGTTTTTAGCAGCGAAGAGCAAAATCTATTACTGATTGCTGTCTGGGCTTTTTTGTCAGTGCAAAAATTACAGAAAAAACAAAAACAAAAAAAAGAACTTCTTTGGGGTGTTTTAAACATATACCCAAACCACACCCTGGTTTACAGTTAAACACCTGAATCTATGTAGCGGACTGTCACTTAGCTGGGTGTTCTGGGTGCAACACTGTCCCCTAGTGCTGCTTACCACAGGCAGTTAGAAGGCTGATTCACATGCTGCCATCCTCCTGCATTGTACAGGATGCAATAATAATCATACAAGACTTTGAGGATGGACTGGATGGACTGGGGACAACAACAAGCAAATAAAACCAAAGGAAGTTGGTGTCATACATCTGAATTGACTCTATCAGACATACACTGAGAATAATTGTTAGTGTATATGCAGAGATGGCAAAAGTACTCACTTTCCGTACTTGAGTAAAAGTACAGATACTTGTGTTAAAAAATACTCTGGTAAAAGTGGAAGTACTGATTAAACTTCTTTACTCAAGTAAAAGTAACAAAGTACAGGCTTGTAAATTTACTTAAAGTATAAAAGTAAAAGTAGAAACCACTTTTTTCATGCCGTTGCCTACATTTTAAATGGATGTCTGCCAATAGGACTAGATCTCCGTTGTGTTCATTTTCAATCATCTCGTCGTCCATGCTACTATGCTAACGCCACCGCCATCAAGCTGCAATGATTTGCCGCCAATGAATACTGCCGAATCTGTCGACTCATCTTGTAGTGGTGCGTCAAATGCAACGTAGATTCCCATCCAATTAGATTGAATTTGGTATTGATGACGTGAAAAATAATAACGGTAACTCCATTGAAATGATTCAAAACTAAAGTAACGAGCCAATTTTTTAAAATGTAGGGAGTAGAAAGTACAGATATTTGTGTAAAAATGTAAGGAGTAGAAGTAAAAAGTCGCCATAAAAATAGGTAGTAAAGTAAAGTAAAAATATCAGAAAAATCTACTTGAGTACAGTAACGAAGTATTTGTACTTCGTTACTTCCCATCTCTGTGTATATGGCAGACATAGATTGGACTGTCAAAACACTTTACTGTCAAGAATCCCCTTCCAGATTTCCAGGATCTTCCTCCTCTGTAGAGCAGCTACTATGAGCACACACGCCTGCTATATTTGAATGATTTTGACAATGATGAAAAAGATATAAACCATTTAGTGTTTTAAACATAAACCCTACTCGTTAAAATGAATAAAACTACAAACACAATGTGTTGTTTCGGCTTTGTATGTGATAGACTTTAAAACATCGTTTCAAAGACCTAAGTAGTCGGCAGCCATTAAAAAGTTTTTTTTCAGGATTACTCTGGCTTAACATGATCCATTCCCCAAAGCATGCCGCTGCCATCCCCATGCATCACTATTCAGGTTATATTTTCTAAACAAAGAATTTTGCGTAAGTAGCAAAACACTTTTTTGGTCTAAAAGATTACTTGAGTAACTGCGCTTATCATGTTACCACTGAATACTTCAGTTCATATCTTATTTGGATTATGAGATATTCTCACATAAATTAGGATGTCACTGTAGAGGTGATTTGGCAACTGCACCTACTGATTTGTAAATGTTCACTTGGTCATCTTCCTTGTTGTTTACACATGCATATTTCACAGAAATGTACTGGTTTCTATCAGGACGTATTTTTATCGTCAGTTCCAATGGTCCAATCTGAGATGATAAAGAAGTTTTCAGTTTGCTGCACCTTCTGCGTCAAACCTTCTACAAAACGACTTTTAAAGTCAAGGGAGCCGGTCTTTTTAAAGTCTTGTAAAATATTTTCAATTGACAGAGACACTGTCTCTTTCACAATGATTATTTTTAATTATATTGCAAAAGCTTCTGATATTTCATACTTTCATTGGTTTGGAATTGTTTATTTTTTTTGCATGTGTGAATGAATGCAGTAACTGACATGTAACCTGCAGTCCACCTTGTTCAGGATGTTTTTGGGTTTTTTTTTTATCTCAATAGGGCTTTTCTTTCTTTTCTTTCTTTCTAAAGGTTAAAACAAAATGAAAATAAGAAGAATGATGAATGTTTATATGTATAAAAATATAGATATGAGCAGTCTGGCTTGCTTTTGTGCCCAATATCTTGTTTTCTAATACCACTAAATAATATAATTTCAGGGATTATGAATATTTTAAAGGGACTTTAATTTTGTCTTTGCAAAGACTTTCTTTCAGAGTAAGCAAGGCATTCTGTACTTTATTTTACTATTAGGAAGTCGTATCAGGCTTAGATCTTTCAGACTCTACTCTGCAGTCTAAGCTCTTTTTCTCTTTTGCAGGCTTTTGTAATCCTTTACATAACAAGGCCTCTGCTTTGTTCTACAGCAGGTTTAGCACAAGCAAACCCAATTTCACATGGATTTTACTTGCACCATTAAGTCAATGATTGGTGGTGATTACAAGCTGCACCCTGTGAGAATGTCCAGATGCTGTTTTTTGTCAAGGTCAGGAGCATGTGGGTGGACAAGAAGGGGGAAAGAGGGGAGGAGGATCGGTCGAATTTTGAGCAATGACGTAGCACCTGCAGCCAAAAAAGACGCAAAATGGAGCCCCAGCTGGCCTCACGCATGAGCCGGGGGAGGAGCAGAGACTGCAGAGACAGGCTTGATTAGGTCCACATCCTCGTCTCCATCATCTCATCTTCAGTCACAACTGAGACTGTTAAAACTTATGACGAGAGCTGGAGTGACATGCAAATGAGGTGTAGATGAGAAGAGCATGCACCTGTCCCCATTCTGGCTGAGAGCAGATTGACTGCACCTTTATTTCTCTCATTGTCTGCTTTCTAAATCACAACCTCAAAAATATAAAGAAAACAAGCATTTAAGAGGAGGATTTAAAGAGTAACAAGAAATGACTGAATCAGTTCATATAGCAGGGGGGTTGAGGGGGCTAGCAGATAGGCTGATGGAAAGCATGTGAATGAGAGTGACAGTGACAGAGTCCCATGCAAAGATAAACAGCACGGGTGCAGCCCCCTGTAATGGCTTTGCACAAGTAATTTGTCACTCCGTGTGAAAAGCAAACGGCAATGCTTTGCTGTGACACCATTAGCTGAGGGTGCCACACAAAGTCATTCCTGCACTCCTCCAGGATCTAAAAATATTCTTCAGGGGCATCCAGCTGCAAAGGAGCGCCCTCTACCAATACAGCGCCTTGCAAACATTCAGATTACAGCTGCAAACCTCTATGTATTTCATCATTATTTAAATGTCAATGAAACACAGTGAAATTTATTTATTCTGAGAAGCATATGATGTCCAATAAATGTAATCCAAATACCTTTGGAAGTCACCTTTTCAGTTCATAGACTTAATCTGCTTTGGTTTAATCTCTGCATAAATCCAGCTGATTAAAGAAGACCTAGAAAATACATAACACACATTGTGAAGACCATGTACACAGCAGACAGAGAAAAATGTGTTTCGTTCAATTGATCATTTTACAATGGAAGTACCATGACACAACCATCATGCAGTGTCCACCTAAACAGGCCTGGCAAGAAGACTGTTGATCAGACTAGCAGGCAAGAGGCAAACGGTAACTCTGCAAAAGCTGTGTGTTGGGCTCTATCAAACCAGATTCTTTAATTGGTTAAGACCAAAGGGTCTCCCGTTTATAGAGGAGCAACATCTAATAAGATGAGATCTAAACTAGAGCTCTGAATGCTGGCTAAAGCATGATGGGGGCAGTATGATGCTGTGAAGACGTTTTGGTGTTTTTTTTAATATGTGATAAGTAACCTAAGAAGGTTTATGGAGCTAGAGGCTGCAGAAGACCTGCAATAGCAGGACATTCACCTTAAAGCAACAAGGTAGAGCAAGTAAACAACAAAGGATTTTATTGTGATGAAACGGATTAGTTTCAAATCTAAGAAATGTTTTCTCAGACTTGATAAATTATGTTTACAAATGTTCTCTGTCTAGTCAAATTTTCCGGCGCTGGCTGTCCTAACCGCGTTGAAAGATCACTCTAAACAGCTGCAAGGTGGTTCTACAAAGTGTTGACTCTGTGGGCTAAAAACAAACACATATAACACTTTTCAATCTCTTCTTTTTCTTTATAAAATATATTGTTTTTAAAAATCATGTTCCCTAAATTTGAATATTAAAGTTTTCTTCAGTACTTTTATTCACTACGTGAAACACACAGTATAAATATATTACACAAAATGATGTTTTTGAGCATTTATTTCTGTTATTTATGATTTTCTGCTCACAGATAATAAAAACACATCATTGAAGGTCAAATTATTACAGCAGATTAATAAAAAAAAAATCATTAAATGAAAACAAATTTAAAAACCTGCTTTTTGTTTTTTTCAACAGGCATTTTTAATCTGACAATCAGGCCACACTAGAATGCATATCCTTATTAACTGAATATGACTCCTATTCTGTCACAGATTCACATCCATATATCATCCTGAACATTAAGGGAAAAATTTTTTTGCTGTTTTTAAACACCTCTAATAAAAGTGAAATGCATATAAAAAGATGTCTGAAAGTCCACCATTTTGAAATCAATGACAATTCCTTTATCAGCAAAAATAACTAGAGCACAATGCCATCTGCTGGACATTTATGTTATTACATACACCATTTTTGCAGAATAAATAAGGAAAAAAAATCCTCAGTGATAAATAAAAAAAAAGACATAAAACAGCTGCATCAACTCTAAGAAATCTTTTATCCACCTCTACTTAAAACATTTAAATCATCAACCTATTAAGATGCTCTCTGTAGCATCCCGCAGTGGCTGCATGTGAGAGTGCATCACCCTGGACCTCTTCCCTGAAATAGGTAACAGCTGACCATTGGCCTTCATCTGCTCGATTTTTCTGGACAGTTCAGGGTCGCTATCGATGACCAAGGTGCACCGCTGGGCGTAGTTAACCAGAGTCTCTTCTCCTTGGCGGAACTGGCCCACCAGTGGTACCATTTCTTTCCCAGCGAGGTGAAGCTCAGCGATAGACGCAGTGTTGGCGATGGTGTTCCTGTCAATGCCGTGGTGGCGGAAGGCCTCGCTCATGCTTTTCTTCTTGATGAAGGCCGACAGGACCTGTTTGTAGCGGTTAATCACGTACAGGACACCAGTGGCTGATGGGGGGAAAAACACCGGAAAGTTACACAAACAGCTACTGCTCTTTAGGCATCTCTCATTATCTGTCATAATTTGTCCTAGTTTCCTTATTTTCTTGCAACATTTCATTATTTTTGAGAATAAGAAATGTATGCTTTCTGCTACATTTTCTAAAATATCTACAGGCTCAATATATACATGTATGGGTATATATGATTGGTCCTCACATTCCATATATTGAGGAAACATCATATGCAAATTATTGCAGAGAGGTAAAAGAGGTAGCTAAAGCCGATTGAATATGCAACAAAACATCCATAGTCGAGCAACTTATCAACTTATTACATAATGTATTAAAAGTAGAATTATATAAATTAAACAATCAAAATGAAATGTTTTAGTGAAAAAGATATAAACATTCCATATTTGGAGACATTAGAATGATCCAGTGGCATCAGTCTCAGACGTCTGGCTCCGGTGTCACCTATCTAGACGTCTAGTTTTGGTGTCAGGAGGAAAATTTATAAAAGCGTGCTAGGCATTTCCTCAGTCTTACAAAGTAACAACATCTTGCTAAATAGTACATTGTTGTGCAGTTGATGAACTTGTAACATTTCAGCTGAAAAAATGGCCACAAAATCAAGAGACTATTATATGTTGTCCCCACAGGATGACACAATGGGTACCAAATTGCCTTCCAAGCAAAAAGTATTGAGTTTCTTCTTGCATCAACACCATAAACTGAAATATACAATAAGAGCAGTAGCAACGCTAACTGTGGAATTCCAACATATGCAACATAAACAAGATTCCATTAAAAAAAAAGCTGTTTGCAGAACCGCAGCAAAGCGAGGTGTGGCCCTCAAGGAGTTCAGGTCTTCTGGTCTTTTTACACAAACATCTTGATAAACTGTACAATAATTAATAAAATTTAGTAACAATAACAATTAATAACAACACATTTTAATAAAATATGTCTAATAAAAGATAAAAATGTATCAAATGTAATCATTATCAACAGGTAATAAATAAAATAAATAAAAACCTCAGTCTTGATCATAAGCAAACTATGCATACCTATCATATTCATTGTAAGAATTTCAAGTTTAACCAAAATTCTTCAAATGCAGCATGTGCTCATTTTTTATATGTTGGAACATTGTTGGAGGGTCAGAGCAAAAACATAAAATGTAACACTTTATTTTCTTGCCTTATATAAGGACCACACACACACATATATATCCAACTTGTGAGCGCAGAACATAGCCCATCCCATCAGTCCTCTCTTTCTTAAAAAGGAGGAGAGCACTACATTTTCTGAGTAGGAGTCTCCATAAAAAAATGAAATAGCACCTTAATAATAATACTGTTGAGAGAACCGATAAGCTGAAGCTGAGCCGTTTTGATACCAAGTTTCAGTGCCCATCCCATTACAAGTTCAGGTTAATGCTAGAAAACCGACTGATTTTAAATAATAACTCAATCACTTCTGTTTACAAGGCTGGTATCCAGTCAGGATTATACCAACATCCTCTTAATTAACTAACAATAAAAGGTTTTATTTTTGCTATAAAATTATATGTTTCACATACATTAATGCATTGACAAGGAAGTGTGAGGACTATATGATACCATGTAGCTAAACAGTTAAGAAATGAGCCTTTGTAAGTAGGAGTTGATTAGCCTGGGTGCCATTCCGAACTTAGTCCCGCCCACAAAGTTTGAGGTCGGGAAGTTTGGTGTGGCTCTGCTCCATAGTAGCGCGAGTATGATCGCCCAC